AGAAAGACTACGTACTATGTCCAACTGTGCAACTTTCTGGAAAAGACAAAACTGTGGTTGGGGAAGGAAGGACAAATGGAAGAATCAGGGGGATTTGTAAAGCTGTGAGATCACTCTTTTGGGTAGTATGTCACTTGACGTTGCTCAGAATTGGAGACCACACAATGCCAAGGTTGAATTCTCATGTGAGCTATGACTGTGGGGCTAAGGACTGGGTCATTAATGGTGACAAGGTTCTTCTTGGAGGGGGATTTCGATAAAGGGGAGGCCGGGTGTGTTGGGGAGAAGGGCTATATGGGGGATAATTTCTGTTCTTTCCTCAGGCAAAATTTCTATGGGGGGGCAGTGCAGTGACATAGTAGGTTAAGCCTCCACTTGCATCGCATTTGGGTACCAGTTTGAATCCCAGCTGCTCTACTTCTAATCCAGCTCCTTGCTTTTAGCTTGGGAAAGCAGCGGAGGATGGCTCAAGTTCTTGGACCATCCACGTGGGAAACCCGAAGGAAGCCCTTGGCTCCTGGCTTTGGATTGGCTCAGCTCTGGCTGTTGTGGCCTTTGGGGGATTGAACCAACGAAGCTGTCTCTTCTCTCTGTAACTGAGCCTTTCAAATAAAAATTTAAAAATCAATATTTAAAGAAAGAATACCACCCAATCTTATTAAAAAAAAAAAAAGAATTTCTCCAGGAGGGAAGTTTTGCATGAAAAAGAATACATGTTTGATGATTCTTAATCAGTAGTATTTCTCTTTTGAAGTTCAGTAACAATTTCTCTTTTTACCAGGACTGCAGACAACTTCGTATCCAGTACACTCGGTCAGGGGTCAGGATTACTGTGACTTAGGGGATAAAGATGGGACCTTGTTGCTTTGAGTTACCTTCCTCTTGTTTTTCTGTAGTTGAAATTCAAAGTCCTTAGGCACAACTCTAGATGCTGAGACAAGGATCTGCAAACAGGTAGTTCATTTGTAGGGGGAGCAGAGGGTGGCAGGATCTCACAGAGCAAGCACACCTGCCTGTGGTTGGGTTTATGGATGTTCAGCACGAGTGGGGTGTGGGGAATCTCCAGAAAAGCCAAATTGAGAATGGAATAGCCACTCTTAGCTTTGATCCGAATTCTCCACTTGATGCATGTCCCATGGCACCTGTGGGTGTTTCTTATTATTTCCTGGCCTTTAGGGTCACAACCCTGGATGTCAGAATCTCGCAGACCACAGTCTTGCTTACTCCACATGGTGATAAATGTTGCTGATGCTGCAGGTCCTGAGGGGTCATTTCCTCAGTAGTGCCCAAGAATGGAGTGAGCAACTGTCTGGCGTGGTTCAGAGTTGCTTAGACAGGGTTTCCTGTTGAAGCCAGGTAAGTCCAGGGTGAACTGGGACAGCTCACACCCAGCCTCAGCCAGCCTTCCTTTCTTTTTTCTCTGGAAGGAGCTGGAATTGCACCTGCTCCTGCCGAGGCACAGCTGCACACTCCTTTACTGCAGCTGCCTTGCTTGCATGCTGATCTTCTCGTAGTTACAGAGCATAAATCTTGGCTCATGGAGAATTCTGGAGAGTTCCCTGGCAAGAGGCATTCATTGCCTGTCACATGCCCTAGCCCTTGCTGCCTCCGTGTCTGACCCACGCTCTGATTAAATTTCAGCTGGCAGCCCCATGGCCTTACCTCACCTATGCCTAATTAATCACTGTCTTCCAGTGCAGTGTTCTGTCCCTGCCCCTCCTCTCTGGGGAGTAGATTTAGAGCCAGTCTCTGGCAACTGGCACCTTCCCATGCATTCCAACCAAAGAACTGGGATCTAGCTGGCAACTTTGCAATCTCCCAAGAAAGAGTAAACATCAATCTTTGTCTCCTCTGTATCTTACACATTTTTTTTTTAAGCTTTAAATATTCCAGTCAGCAACCCCAATAAGAAAATGTAAATATCCCTGTCAGCAACCCCAAGGAATGAAGAATAAGAAACTGGGGTGTTGTTCCCCAAGTCAGGGTGGCCTGTGGGGACTGCACTTCTTGCAGATGGGGAGAAGAGATCACAAATCAGTTGTCAATTGCAGGACCCTCCAGTTGTCTGAATTCCTCCTCTGGCCAGTCTCCTTACAAGGGTTATATTCTTTCTGGGAACAAAGGACACATCGCCTTCCTGGTGTGTCACTGATCCACAGAGTGGTGGCGGCCTGGCTCCAGTTAGGACTGCTGTAACTGCACCCTGGCAGTCCCAGCAGACTGCGGTGGGTACCCGCCCACCTGTCCTGGGGCTGAAATGATTCGTACCTGGGAGCAAACTGCAATATGGTCGGTCCCAGGGTGGAAATGGTCCTCCAAGGTTTCCCAGTGGGACTGCTGTGCAGCTGTACCCAGTGGTAGCTGGCCTAATGACTTAGCCTGCCCCTAGCCTGCTCTTTTCTCTCAGACCTACCCCATTACTGCTGGCTTTCCTTTTTCCTTGCCCTGAACATCTTGATCTCAATCTTGTTGCTTTGGGTCTGCTTTTGGGGGATTCCAAACTGAGGTAGTTGGTCATTACGTGTTATAATTCAGGAGTATCTGTCACATCTCGTGTTTAGTGCCTTGTCTGTCTCAAATATTCACTGAGCTGCAAACCCAAGTCCTTGAGGAAGAAGGAGGGTACATGACATTTGTATGTGAGGCCCACACTAAACAGTTGAGTGGTAGGGGTTCTGTGGCAGACATGTCCTGACAAAGGTCTTCCATTTCCTCTTTTTAAAAAGAAGTATATCATTTCACAATTTTTAAAATATTTATTTTACTTTTATTGGAAAGTCATATTTACAGAGAAAAGGAGAAACAGAAAAATCTTCTATCCACTGTTTTAATCCCCAAGTGGCTGCAACAGCAAGAGCTCAGCTGAGTCAAAGCCAGGAATTAGGTGCTTCTTCCGGGTCTCCCACACAGGTGCAGAGTCCCACGGCATTGAGCTGTCCTTGACTGCTTTCCCAGGGTACAAGCAGGGAGCTGGATGGGAAGTGGAGCATCCAGGACATGAACTGGTGCCTGTATGGGATCCCAGTGCATGCAAGGCAAGGATTTTAGTCACTAGGCTATTGCACCAGGCTCCCCTTCTTTCTTTTCTTTTCTTTTTTTTTTAAAATCATAAATGTGTTGGTTAAACAAAGTCTGGAGGCAGACATTAAGAATTTGGTCTTCACCTTTCAGAGGTGGGTTTTCCTTAAGCATTATCAAGACAATGGAAATGTTTGGAAGCAAATCTTTGCTAATATATAGCATACCATCACTTGCAAAGTAACAAAAAAAGAATCACCTTGGAGCGAGTCATTCCAGGAGACCAGCAAAAATCAGATAAGAAACTGTGTAGTTTCATCATACGAACTTCAGTTCCTGAAATATTTACATCTGCCACGTGAAGATGAGTTAGGAACAACTTTTCTTCAAGTCGCAGTGTGTTTGGCATGTTTTGCAAAAACAGTCATGCAGGCAAGGGCCTCTAGCTATAGTCAGAGAGGCTTCCAGATGGAGGAGAAAGAAGCAGCTAGCTCTGAGATGCAGTGAAACTGTTCTGAAGCCCCTGGGTGCAGGACTGTGGTGTAACCTGCAGCACGAGCATCCCATACGGGTGCTGGTTTGAGTCCTGGCAATCCCGCTTCTGGTTCAGCTCCCTGCTAATGTGCCCAAGAAAGCAACAGAAATATGGACAGTGTTTGGGCCCCTGCACTCATGTGGGAGACCAGGAAGGAGCTTCTGGCACCTGGCTCCAGTCTATCCCAACCCTGGCTGTTGCAGCCTTTTGGGGAGTGAATCAGCAGCTGGAAGATTGTTCTCACTGCAATTCTGCCTTTCAAATAAGATACATCTTTAAAAACTCCTCAAATGGTGTTCCAACGCAATGTCAGACATTTTTCTTCCCCTTGCTTGGGGTGCATTCGCTTTCTGCACACACTGTTGTTGGAGTCTATGGTATCTAAGCCCCTACAGGCATGGCTGATCACAGAGAACTGCTGGCAATCTCTCCTGATGCGTGACCGGTGGGTTGCAATATGGAGATGGCACGAGGCATCAAAACAGCTGTGCAGACCCACAGCTTTGAAATTGCTGCTCAGCCAACCCTGGCCGATCTCCTGAGCCATGGGGGAGCCATACGTCTCATCAAACAGTCGTGCTGAGCCATTAAGGTCATTAGTGACAGTAGTGACAGGGCAGCTGTCATTTGCTGGACACTTACTGCACATGAGTGCGCGTTGATCTCATGTACAGCTGACAACAAACACCCAGGCAGGACTCATAATTCCATAGGTGAGAAATTGGTGCAGCAAGGTCAGCGAGGTCACATCTCTCACTGAACCAGGCCAGTTCTGACCACTGCGCTGGTGTGAAGCCCTTGAGCCTGGGCTCTGACTTGTCTGGGGTGGTCCCTGCCCTGAGACCCCACAAAAGGAGCTCTTGTCTCCTTGCCCCATGATCACTGCACTTCCACTCCTGGCCACCCTCCTGGAGAAGGTGCTGTCTCCATCCCTTCTCCTGGGCTCTGCTCCCTGCCAGGTTCATCTCCAGGAGCTGCAGCCTTGGAAATGCATCACTCAGACCTGCTGCCGTGGGAGCAATGGACTCCTGGTCCCTGGGGCTGGCCCTTGCATCCACCCTCCAGTCTGCGCTCAGATCCCTCTGCTGCAGGTGGCTCCCAGCCAACCACTAAGCAGTGTGATCCAATGGAGCATCCAACATCCTGCAAGCGGAACTGCAGTCTGAGACACCCCCCTCCCTCCCCAACCCTCTGTCCTTCCCTCTCCCCCTCCCAGGGGGTTCAGGCCCTGCCGAAGTTTCCCCTTCATTCTTCCATCCCCTTAGCTGTATCCTGCATAGAAGTCCCTTCCAAGGCACCTGTCTTGCTATCTGTTTCTAGCAGTATCCCTGACCTAACGCACAAGGTAACAGCTCTATTCTTAGCCTGCCCTGGCCCTCCTCCGTTTGCTTTACTGTCACACCACTTCACTTGTTATATGTCCCATCCGGTAAACATATGTCTTTACCTTGTTTACACCATCAGCCATGGCCTGAAGTGTGAGCTCCCGGGGCCCGTCCACGGTCTTGCCATTGTCCGTGGGGCCCCAGCTGGCACTGTAGATGTCTATCAGTTGGGGCATGTGACTGATGGAGGAGGCCTCGATGATGTCCGTCATGAATGGCTGGTCCAGCATCCGGATACCTGTGGGCAGGTGCGAGCAGAGGGAACGCCAGGTTTGGTGTTACAGTTCACAGGGAACTTGGGGTGGAGGAGGGCTTGGGTCCTGAAAGGGTTAGGGCCCCGCCAGGTGCCCAAAAGGATACTGTGGAGGCCTCTGTGTGCACCCTACCTCAGTCTGCCTCACGTAAGTGGTTGAAGATCATTTTATTGCCCTAGCCTGCTCCTCTGGGGGTTCCTCTTTTTTTTTTGAAGATGTGTTTATTTTTATTGGAAAGTCAGATATAAAGAGAGAAAGAGAGACAGAGAGGAAGATCTTCCATCTGATGGTTCACTTCCCAAGCGACCACAACGGCTGGAGCTGAGTCAATCCAAAGCCAGAAGCCAGGAGCTTCTTCCAGGTCTCCCACACAGGTGCAGGGTCCCAAGGCTTTAGGCCGTCCTCAACTGCTTTCCCAGGCCACCAGCAGGGAGCTAGATGGGAAGCGGGAGCTGATGGGATTAGGACTGGCAACCACATGAGATCCCAGGTGTGCAAGGCGAGGATTTACCACTAGGCTATTGCGCTGGGTCCCTCTCCTGGGTTCCTAATGAGAGACCAGAGGTGACTCCCCAGATTGGCCAGTTTCTCCAGGCATTGGGATGTTGATTGAGGAGACACAAAGGTATTGTGCATGACAAAGGAGGGAAGAAATTAGCTAAGGGGGCAAAGGGCAGAGGGCAGGAAGGGGGAGGGGTAGGGAGAGTCCAGCAGGGTGAGACTGTCCAGCTGAACTGTGACAGGAGGGCGGGGAGAGGGACGTGTGCTATTCTGAATTGTGTTATTACAGGGAGTGTGAGTTAGCCAGACCCCTGCCCTTCGTGTATAACACATCTCTGGAAAGCTTGTGTCACTCTCTGACACTTCCTGGAGCAGTGTCCCACAGGTCTGATGAAGTGGAAGCACATTCAGCCAGCATACTGGGGTGCAGGGAGAAAACGGGTGGGTGGCTGCTGTTTCTGCTGCCTCTGCTCTGGAAAGCATGGCTCACATCATTCTCCGGCTGTATGCAAAAGGTCAGCCAGGGCTAACCCACTAGCAGTCAGTGGGATGGGCTTTCTGCACCTCTGCCCCCCGTAAGGCTCCCTGTGGAATGTTCCCTACTGCAGGGGCCACATTACTCTGCAAGGTTTTTTCCTCTGGGACGCCAGACAATGGGCTGGCCCCAAGGCTGGCAGGACCTTGTAGGGCTTCGGGCTAGTGTTGTTAGTGGGTGGTTGGTGTGGGCATTTCACACAGGTGCCCTGGTTGAGAACCTGGGTAATCCTGGCTGCTCCACTTCTGATCCAGCTCCTTGTTAATGTACCTAGGAAAGCAGCATAAGATGGCCTAGGTGCTTTGGCCTCTACAACCCCATGGGAGACCCAGAGGAAGCTCCTGGGCCTTGGATTCTGATCCACCTAGCCCTGGCCATTGTGGCCATCTGAACCAGCAGATTGAAGATCTCTCTTTCTCCTCCACTCTTTTTGTAAGTCTGGATTTCAAAGAAAGAAATCAATCTTTACAAAACACATCTGGATCCTGACATCCTTTGTGCCCCACAAGGCTAATGGACATCGTTATTCAAAGACTCTCTTTCATAAACCTCACTGTCTAACATGGAACACAAGTCAGGTTCCGCAGGGCAAGGGCAGTTGGCTTGAAGTTGTGACTTGAAGTTGCTTTTTTTTCTCATTAGGGATTTACTGTATTCAGATTGCTGAAGTGCCAGGGTCTCTCTTTCCTCCTTGCTGGCTCAGGGAACACCCTTTCTACATGGACTGCACCTGCTCTCCATGCATCTTTAACCATCACAAATGCTTAGAATGTTCCATGCACCACCGGATGGCAAGGTCTTGGAGTCCAAGTGACATGTCTATTTTGTTCACGTCCATGTCCTTGGGGATCGACGGAATGCTTGGTATTTATCTTAAGCTTGATAAATACATGTCTGGAATTATCACTGTATTTGCTTGATTTTCTGCCCAGCAGAGATGACAGACCCACAAAACCAAAGCAACCAGTTCGTTAACCATCCTCAATCACTCATCCATCACGAGGTCATCATTTTTGCTAACAAACCTGTGATCATCCGTGAACATATGCTAAGAGGACTCTCACTTGGCAGGAACCTAATCTTTAGTGTCAGCTTTCCATGGGCTCACTCTTAGGGTTCATTTTATAAGGAGCTGGGAAGCTTAATGCTCTACATTTGCCTTTGCTCTACCAATGTTTTATTTTCTTAAAAAATATATTTGAGGATTTGGCATTATGGTATAAACAGGTTAAGTTACCGCCTGTAGTGCCAGCATCCTAGGAAGGTACCAGTTTGAGTCTCAGATGCTCCACTTCTGATCCAGCTCTCTGCTTATGGATTGAGAAAGCAACAGAGAATGCTTCGAGTGTGTGGGAGACTCAGGGGGAGGTTCCAGGTCATTGTGGCCACCGGAGGAGTGAATCAGTAGATTGAAGACCCCTTTCTCTCTGTATGTCTCTCTCTTTTTGTAACTTTTTTTGTAACTCTTGCTTTAAAAAAATATATATATATATTTGGTATATATATATATATATTTGGTATATATATATATATATATATATATTTGGTATATATATATTTGGTATATATATATATATATACCAGAAAAAAAAACCATATTTGACAAGGATAGACAACAGGCTACAGAGAAAGCTGCTCAGTAAATTACTTTTTGCTCAAAAGTATGCTGGCTCTGTGCTTGGGAAGTTAACACCAAGAGTTCAGCACTCACTGACCTGCAAGGAGGAAAGTCTTGAATAGAGCCCAGATGCCCAGGAATGGGAGTCCCACCTCAATGAGAAGCTGGGGAAAATTCAACCCTGGCCGAAGTTGGCCTTGTTGGTGCAAGCCCACCCACGCAGCTGACTGGAGTCATTGCCAGCACAGGGTGCTGTTGGCTCAGCTGGGTAGCGTCTTGCTCTGGCCCCTTCGCCTCTTTTTTTCCTTTCCTCATGGGCTCCCTTTGCATTCCACAAGAACCTCAAGGCTAGTGTGCATTCATCTTCTGGCTGTTTCAGCATCAAGGGGGATGGGGACTGAAGAAGGGGGAAGGGTAGAGTTGGCCACAAATTGGGAGTAGGGCTCATTTATATTCAGGGACTAGGCGCCAGACTGACATTCTTTTAATCATGTTAAGCTTAGGAGGAATGAGGCATGCATTAATTGAATAAGGTACCATATTAATTTTGCAAGCAACTGCACCATTTAGCAGCTCAGCCAAGGGCTCAGGGTGACCTGAGGATTGTAGGGAGGGCCTCTCTGTGCCCCTGGGTGCTCCAGGAGCTGCTGTGGAATAGGGAAGGGAGGGAGAGAGGCAGAGAGAGAGGTTGGGGAGTCAGCAGATTGGCAGCTGATACACGCATTACTGGCTGGTGTGACTCAACGGCAAGGATTCATAGAGTGCACCTCGGGGGTCTTATATCCCACCTCTGGCCAGGCTTGCCTGCCACTAGAAGGCTTAGAGGTGTGTCTCTGTTCCTCTTCCGTGTTTAGAGGCCTGGTTCACGCTGGGGGGGGTGGGGGCAGTGCTGCAGGGACTGTGGCATGGATGTGAGCACACTCCTCCACCCCTGCTCTGATTACCCAAGGCGTCCTTGTACCTGCTACCGGTGCCTGATACATCTGCCCACAAGATGCCAGTGGTGTCACCTTTTGTGCTAAGGAGCTAAGAGCAAGTTCACGGCCACTCGGTTTCTAATATTTGTAATCTCTTCATGAACATCCTCACGGTGATTTTTGCTGACATTAAAAACTCAGATAAAATATGTATGAACACAGATATGCTGACATGATTTATTGGCCAGTGAATAATGTCTGACCAATATGTTCTGTAGTATATCAAAGTTTGCATATAATGTCTGTAACTTATTGGCCAGTAATCATGACAATATTTTATGAAAGCAATTCCTTGCTGGTAGAAAAATTTTAGATTTTTAAGAATACTTAACCGCTAGATTTTTGAATTATTTTAAAAATCATTTTAAAGAAAATTATTTATTGATTTCTTTATTTGAAAGGCAAAGCAACACACACAAAGGGGGGGAGGAAGAGAGGGAGAGGGAGAGATCTTCCATCTGTTGGGTCACCGCCTAAACGGCTGCAGTGGACACGCTTTGCATTTTATATTTGCTAGTAGGTTTTATCTAAAGTGTATGAAGGAATTTTAAAATATTTGTGGAAAATGGAATGAAAAAATGAGTCTGTTTTGGCATGCAAAATCTTTAAATCCAAGTATAATTTCTTCATAATATACATTTTTTTTCATTAACTTTTGAAGCCCTCTCAGAGGTTGACCCGTGTTGGTCTGGTAATTAAATTTAGCAGCACATACCAGCCGGACAGGGTGGGCCACTGAGGCAGCACTGTTAGGACCAAAGGTTCACTATTTGGAGGGAAATGGAGCTAGTACCACATATACCAGTGACCTTGTGTGAAGGTGCAGGAGACGATATTGGGAACTCATGTTGTGGTGCAGTGGGTTAAGCCACTATCTGTGATGCTGGCACCTCATATGGACACCAGTTTGCGTCCCAGCTGCTCCAACTTCTATGCAGCTTCCTGTCAATGCAGCTGGAAAAACAAAGAGAGGATGGCCTGGGTGCACCCTGCACCCTTGTGGAAGACTCCAATGAAACTCCCGCCTGGCCCAGCCTGGGCCATTATACTTTACTTTTAGGTAAATAAAATAAATCTTAAAAAAGTAAGACTTTTAGGGCCCAGCACTACAGCCTAACAGTTAGTGTCCTCGCCTTGCACACGCTGGGATCTCATGTGGGCGCCAGTTCTAATCCCGGAAGCCCCACTTCCCATCTAGCTCCCTGTTTGTGGCCTGGGAAAGCAGTCGAGGATGGCCCAAAGCCTTGGGACCCTGCACCTGCGTGGGAGACCTGGAAGAAGCTCCTGGCTTCTGGTTTTGGATTGACTCAGCTCCAGCCGTTCCGCCAGCTTGAGGAGTAAATCGTTGAATGAAAGATCTTCTCTGTCTTTCTCTCTTTATATCTGACTTTACAATGAAAATAAATAAATCTTTTTTTTTTAAAGTAGGAATTTTAGGATAAGACATTTTAGTACTGACTCAGAGACCAGGAGCTAATAGCAAAGATGTAATAACATCGCTAACAAATGAATCCTGAGGCAAATGTGAGCAGTTTAGAAACAGAAGAAGAAACTTAGTGCTGCTTTTAGAGAAATCAATTTATAATCTTACCTTCACCCCGCTTTTATTTTCGGACTAAAGGTGTACAGCACTTTAACTTTTTCCAGGCCGATCTGGGAGACGGCACACCTCGCCCAGGAGCCGGCTGGGGCGAGCAATGATCACGCCTGGCCACCAGGGGGCGCGCCGGGCCTCGTTTGCTTCGTTCTGGAAGGCCAAGCCACTTCAGGGCGAATTTGACCCATTTTGGTGAATAATTAAAAAGCAGCCAACTTCTAGAAGTGCTACGTGGAAGGCACAGAACAGTCCCCTGTGACTGTAAGGACTCAGAGTGCCAACACTCGGCTTCGTGTATTGTTGTGGGGAGCGTTCTCTAGAAGAATTCTTTGACTTGGCCGGGACCCGGGAGTTCACCCCAAGCCTGGACCGGGGCCTGGCACTTCCTCAGCCCTGGAGCGGCGGGAGCCGGCGTGCGTGCGTGGCCAAGGACACGGCTGGATTTCCTGGAGCAGGAGCGGCAGGACGCAGGCTGCCCCGGGAGGCTGGGCGTGCGTGACGCGGGCGCCATTTTGGGCCTCAGGACAGACACGGCCCCAGACGTCCTCCCGTGAGGCGGGCGCTGCTGCCGTGCCACCTCCGGGTCCTTGGGTTAGGTCACGGCCCGGTGCCCGGGAGGTGGACTGTGCTCAGCCCGAGAGCCCGTGGGTGGCCCAGAGCCACCCCAGGCGGTGGCCATGGCCGCTGTGCCCCACGAGGGGCCCCGTTCTGAGGGAAGCCGTGACACCTGCTCATCCCGCTCTCCTCCCCTAACAGCAGACTCCTCAGAACTCGCTCCTCAGCAGACTGCTTGAGGCCTCGGGCTTTGATGTTTGCGATTTTAAACGAAGAGAACTAGGGATGTTGTATGAAGGGCCGAGGTGCTTTCTTGGGGGTGCAAGTGACAAGAAAGCCGCAAGCTGCCCCCAACTCGGTTAATGTTGGCAGGCAACCTGTGGAGAACCCCCTTTGCTCAAAAGCCAGCCACCTGGGACGGCGCAGGCTACAGAACCGTGTGGGGAGAAGATCACGGAGCTGCAGGGACGCGTGCTTGGTGTCTTCCCGTTGCCGTGGGTTCGGCCTGTGAGTACAGAACCTGCCCGGTCCGCTTGGCTCCAGTGTGAAGCCGGCTGGCCTGGCCCCGTCCACACTGGCAGCCCCTGGCAGCCCCTGGCGAGTGCGAGCGCTGCCCTTTGGGATGCCCACAGAGCAGGGAGAGCGGGCAAGCGGCAGACAGCGCCGGCAGACTTTGCAGAGGTGACTGCTGAGCCATTTAGGTCCTGAAAATGCATGTGTTAGCACAAAAGGGAGTTTGTGGTTCCATTAAATTGCTAGGAGAAAAAAAAAATCAAGACAATTGTGAAAACAAAAAGCAAGAAAATGGAAATGAAAAAGAAAAATCGAGGTTGGGAATCAGTTACGAAGCAGTTAGAGGCGGCGCCTGGGAGAAGGCGTGTGTCTTGTTGAATGTTTGGCAGTCTCTCCCTTCCCCAGCCCCTCCCTCTCCACTCATCTCTCTGCTTTGGGGGATGCTGGGGAGTTCATTTCTACCACCTACCACTGTGATCTCGAAAGAAACATTCTAAGAGCAGCTTTCCTTAGTGGAGCACCTAGATTCAAGTCCAGGCTCCACTTCCAGACCCGCTTCCTACTCAGGTGCACTCTGGGAAGCCATCAGGGCTGACTTGAACCTTTTTTTTTTTTTTTTTTTAAAGATTTATTTACTTTTATTGGAAAGGCGAATATGCAGAGAGGAGGAGATAGAGAGGAAGATCTTCTGGCTGATGGTTCACTCCCTAAGTGACCACAACAGCTGGAGCTGAGCCAATTCAAAGCCAGGAGCCAGGAGCCACGCAGGTGCAGGGTCTCAAGGCTTTAGGCCATCCTTGACTGCTTTCCCAGACCACAAGCAGGGAGCTGGATGGGAAGCAGGACTGCCGGGATTAGAACCAGTGATCATATGGTATCCCAGTACGTGCAAGGCGAGGATTTTAACCACTATGCTATCACACCAGGCCCGAATCTTTGCTTTCTGAGAGACCTGGAATGAATTCCAGGCCTGGCCTGGCCCAGCCTCTACTGCTTCGGAGAGTGAACCAGTGGGTAGAAGATCTCTTACTCTTTGATTCCTTTGCCTTTCACATAAAACAAAATAAAAAGTTTGTAAATAGAACATATGTCCTTAATGAAGAAATTTATTGTGTGCAACATTTCGAAGGGCTCTGAGTGTGTTTACGAAGAATATGTACCTTCTTATTTTTTAGAGTCTGGTTCAAGTCTCACTAGAATGTTGCTAACCAGGTGAGCACTGTGGTTAAGTTGCTGTCTGCCACTATGGCATCCCATATGGGCGCCGGTTTGAGACTCAGCTGCTCCACTTCTGATCCAACTGCATGCTAAGGCATTTGGGAAACTAGGGGAAGATGACCTGAATGTTGGGGCCCTTTCACCCATGTGTGAGACCCAAAAGAAACTCCTGGCTCCTGGCTTTGGCCTGACCCAGTCCTGGCCATTGGTGACATTTGGGGAGTGAACCCAATGTATGGAAGATCTCTCTCTGTCTCTACTCATTGCCTTTTCCTTTCTCTGTGTAACTCTACATCTCAATTACATAAGTAAATCTTGTCAAAGCATGTTATAGGCATTAACATAAATCCATTTATAAAAAGCTCAGAGACTGGGAATCACCAATATTTGCTGTTAGGGAACAAGGTGATGGTTAATCTTGTACATTTGGGTGATAGCTGGGAGGGGCTGGCCATGCTGGTGGTGCTGAGTGTGTGGCCAGTTTGAATGGTGTGCTTATGATCTGCACACTTTCTGTGTTTATCTCATGCTTACATTAAAAATTCAATGTTATATTGATATTTCACTAGGGTTAAAATAAAAACAAGAAGTGTTTCCACGCCTACTAAATCGACATCAACAAAGCCTAGTATTTCTGCCCCAGTGGGATTTTTGGCTGGGCCTGACCTGAGCTGGCTGGGGAGCAGGTGTGATCTGTGCTGGGACTGGCAGCCCAGCTTGGCATCTGCTTTTTGATGGGGCCTGCTTACCTGCAACTTTGGAGTTGTACGCCACTCCCACCCCACAGATATTGTTGTTGGCGGCAGCAGAGACTTCTCCTGCGCAGCGGGTTCCGTGGCTGTGGAAACACGGTTAAGATGATTCAGATCAGGCATGCAAAGCATTGGGAAGAGGTTCTTTAAGTTCCATGGACTGGAAAACACAGGTGCTTTTCTGTGATTGAGCTGGTGCTAATATGTGGCACATCCGGGTTTCTGTGTGTGCTAATGTTCTCGCTCATTTCTTTCAGTTGTCTTTTGAAGATTTGTTTGTTTTTGTATTTGACAGGCACAGAAACAGGGAGCGAGGGAAAGATACACAGAGAAAGAGAGAGCTCTTCCATCTGTTGGCTCACTTCCCGAGTTGCTGCAGCAGCTAGGTCTGGGCCAGGTTGAAGGCAGGACCTAAGGACTCCATCCTTGTCTCCACCGTGGGTAGCAGGACTGCACTAGCTGTCCTTGGTTGTGTTCCCAGAGCGTTGGAAGGGTGCTGGGTCGCAAACAGAGCAACCAGGATTGAAACCAGCGCTCTAGTGTGGGATGCATGCATGTGAATGCCAGCTCAGCCTGCTGCTGGCCTGGGATGCCTCTGTGACCCTGGGTTTTCTGTAACAAAGAGAATATCTTCACCTATGTCATTTAGTCTTTGGAATTCAAAGCAGCTTGTCGTAGAAAACACATAGGTTGCCTTTAAAAAGGAAACACAGAGTAAGGTACATTTTGTGCTTCTTGGAAAAGCTTTAATTTTTCTGAAGCCCTGAGCCATGGGCTGGTACTTGTTTTCAAGGTAAGTTCAGCACATAGGGGTGTAACTCTGCCTGTTGATGGTAGGTCTTGGCTTATTTCTTACCTTCATCTGATTGAGGGTGTACCATAGAGTCCTACCTTCACACAGGAACAAAAAGGCAAACCCTGGGAATATTTTGCATGGAACTTTATTTTTTTAAAAAATTTATTTACTTTCATTTGGAAGGCAAATTTACAGATGGAGAAGGAGAGAGACAGAGATAGATCTTTCATCCTCTGGTTCACTCCCCACATGGCCTCAACAGCTAAAGCTGGGCCGGTCTGAAGCCAGGAGGCTGGGACTTCTTGGTCTCCCATATAAAATCAGGGGCCCAAGGACTGGGTGATCTTTCACTGTTTTTCCAAGCATATTAGCAGAGAGTCGGATCAGAAGTGGAGCAGCTGGGACTTGAACCAGAGCCCGAATGGGATGCTGGCCTAGCATTCAGAGGTTTAATTGTGCTACACCACAGTGCTGGCCCCTGCATAAAACTTTAAGGACTTTATTGAGGTTTACTAGATTTTAAGCATCTCAGATATTAGGTGATTTTTCTATGATTTGCCTGGCCTAATAGTTCTAGCTTCTGACTAATGAGCATCCTAGAAGGCAGCAGGTAGTGGTCCAAGGTTCTTGGGCCCCTGCCACCCACCTGGGAGAGCTGGATGGAGTTCTTGGCTACTGGCTTCAATCTGGCCTAACCCTGACTGTTTCTGTGGAGTGAATGATTGGATTGGAGATATCTCTGCTTGTCTGTGTCTCTGTTTTCAATGTAAAACAAATAAATAGACGTTAAAAATGCATGAAATATAATAATATATATATAATATGAAATACAAGGGGGTGCTGGGGTTGTGACACTACCTATGACACTGTTACTGCATATAGATAATGGTCCATGTCCTGGCTGTTTTGCTTCCCATCCAACTTCCTGCTCATGGCCAGGCAACAGCAGCAGAAGATGGCTGAAATGGTTGGGTCCCTACCATGGAAGTGGCTTCAGCTTGGCTCAGCCACTTGGGGAGTGAGCCAGCAGATGGAAGACCTCTCTCTATTTCCTTTCTCTTTGTAACTCTGACTCTCAAATAAATAAATAGTTAAGCTTATAATTTTTTATTTGGAAAAGTAATGGAGGAATTTTTCAAAAGTGCTCATGAAACATGGAGTTTAAAGTTAAATTTATTTTGGTAAAAAAAATGTTAAGATCTTTGCATTCAGAGGATCCTTTCAGATTACAGAAATGTCTCAACATAATAGACTGCAAATGAGAATCCCATAGCCAATATTATGTTGAGTGGGGAAGGGGCATAAACTTTCTTGCTAAGATCTGGACTCAGATAAGAAGTCCACTCTCACTGTTTTTATTCAAAATACAATTGGAAACTCTTAACTAGTAGAAAGAAATAAAAGGCATTCAAATAGGTCTGTAAGAAGTGAAATTATTCTTATTTGCAGATGACTTGAGTCCTTATGTAAAAAAAGCCTGGATTCCATTAAAAGACTATTAGAATTAATAAGCAAATTCAGTAAAGTCACAGGATGTAAAATCAGCACAAAAAGTCAGTAGCGTTTTTATACTCCAATAATGAACTAAAAGAGAAAGAAATTATAAAAGCAATCCCTTCACAGTAGCTACAAAAATAAATGTAACCACTTAAGCATGATTAAAATGAGCATTACAAAGCACTGATAAAAGAAATTGATGATAAAAAATAATTGAGAATTAATATTATTAAAATGTCCATTCTAAACAACTTACAGATTTTGAGTAATTTCCTTTGGAATGCGAATGGCATTCTTCACAGAACTGGACAGGTGATTTTTTTTAACCTTTTTTTATCTTGACAAGTGATTTTAAATTGCAAAATGGAGGCACAAAAACCCCAAATAGCCAAAGCAGTCTTGAATGAAGTGATGAAGTTTGAGATTTTGGGACATACTACAGAACTAATGTAATCAAAACAGCATGACATAGAAGAATCAAGAGGGTGGAACAGGGTAAGGACTCGTTTAAACAGTTGGAGTAACATTAGCCAGCGAGGGCACATTCCAGGAAATAGGACAGGACAGAATGACAGCAAAGGGGCACCCGGAGACTGACAGACACAGGAAAGCAGCAGACACAACAGTGTGGTGTTGCTGTGACCAATACCCCACTAGCATTCAGTGAGCAGCGATGTGAACTGCACCAGCAGCCAGAAGTCTGGCATCAACAAGGTGGGAAGGGATGTTCACCAGCTGCTCAGGAGGTGAAGCCAGACAAAGCTATATAGGATACCTGGTGTCTCCCTAATCCTGGGAACTGTTGAAACTGGAACAGGGAGAAAGGTTGTACAGACAACTGTACAGCCTCAGCACAGCATCACAGGAGGTGGAGACTGGTGAGCCAGGAACTGGGGCTATGAGACCATCATAGAAATCTAACATAAGAACCTAGATCTGGAATTCACTGGAGGGAGTGGCATAAGTGACTGCAAACAAAAAGCTATGTACCAACCACAATAAGTAAAATCAGATTGTAGACCTGTGGGTGACAGAGCTTAGAAACTTGCCCCAAAGAGAAGAATCTGATAACCAGAAGTGTAATGACCAAGAGCAAAAGAAGGGACACAGGCACAATAAATATTACTGAAGACTCCCCTGTATAGGGGCAAAAGCCTTTGCCGACCTCAGAGTTAACTGAGTTAACATTGAGAAAATGGGGGACACAGAATTCAAAACACTTGTTGTAAAGTTTCTTATCAACAAGAAGTACGTAAAGCAGGCATTCAAGGAATTTAAGTAATATGTCACACAGGAAATGAATCAAATGAAAGCTGATCTATCAGAAATGAAGACTACAGTGGAGCAAATTTAAAGTATAGTGGAGAGTCTCCAAAATAGAATGAAGGAGGCAGAAGAAGGAACCTTATAATTAGAAGATATTTCCTGTCACGGGGGGTGGGGTGGGAGGAGGAGGAAGCAAGCAAAAAGCTGGAAGCAGAGCTGGGTCAAGCTAAATAAGTATTCAAGAACCGAAACACATTATTAAAAGGCCAAAAGTTATGAGAGTCCCAGAAGGTGCAGGAAGAGAAGCTGGGTTTAGAATATTTAACGAAAGAATTGGGAAAATTTCCCTAATCGAGAGAAAGAATTGGGAAACAACATCCAGGAGGATCACAGAACGCCCAATAGGCTTGACCAAAAGCAATCTTCACCAAGACACATGATAATCAAGCTCTCTTCAATCTAACATAAGGAAAAGTTCCTTAAATGTGCACATGAAAAAAATCAACTGACATATAAAGGAATGCCAATTGAACTCAAAGGAGACCTCTCACAGGAAACTCTACAGGCCAGAAGAGACTGGAGTGACATATTCCAGATTGTACAAGCAAAAACTTGTCAGCCCAGATAACATACCCAGCAAAAATTTCCTTTTTCTTTGAAAATGAAATAAAATTCTTCCACAGTACAGAAAAGTTAAAAGAATATGCTTCTTCCAAACCTGCCCTACAAATGAGACTTAAAGTTGTTCTCTTGACAGAGAAGAGGATTAACACCCACCAAAACCAAAGGCAAACGTGAAGAACATCTCAGTAAAATAACAGAGGACTAAATCAATGCTAAATCAATCAACCCATTGCTAAATGACAGGATCAAATTACTACCCATACATACTAACCCTGAATGTAAATGACTTAAACCCATGAATCAAATGTCATAGATAAGTAGAATGGATTAAAAAACAAAACCCATCTATTTGTTGCCTACAGGAGATGTATATCTCACCAACAAAGAGCAGTGGAAACTATAGCTCATGGATTTGGATTTTTTGTTTTTTTAGTTTCATCTCTTCAAAAACACTTTCTCATTAAATTCTTCACTGACTCATAGATCATAAAATAGCATCATTTTCTTCAAGAATGGCCTTGATTTTCTTTTTCATTTCTTCAGTGATACATTAGTCATTCAATAGCATATTATTTAACTTCATGGCATTATGTCATTTTTTTCTTCCCTTTTTTGATTTTGTTTTGTGGTTTTTCATTAAAGAGCACATATAGTAACTGTGTAATGGAGACTGTCATATCCAGTAGCATGTCATTAGCTTCGTTGCATTATAAATTTATATTTTTCTTCCTGTTGTTAATTTTGTATTGTGGCTTTTTATTTAAGGGAATGTATGGTAACTGTGTAATGGAGACTATCATATTTAGATGTGAGGATACAATGCTGTAAGGAGTTATTCGAATATCCCACCCTGGACCTGGCGCCATTTCCTCTTCCTTACAGCTCATGAAATTTGCGCCAGTC